CGATTATCCTGAACTTTTGCACTTGTTCAGTACCCAATGTCAACACGAAGCAAGTGCAACTAACATTTGAAAAAAGTAATAATCATTACATAAAAGCAGTTTTTTTTTTGTTGGAAAAGCGATAAACTTTATAAGTTATTATGCCATTATGGCATACTATACATAATGAATGTATGTATAAATTCTTCACATTCAAACATCGTATTATACTATACGAGGTTCTACAAAAGGTGTCCCTTCTGGTTATTCAGTGATAGTACCTAGGTATATTATAATAACAGTGTTTACAAATTAAATGAACATGATACACGCATAATACTCGATTTGCCTTAAAAATACTTCTAGTGTAGCTACAATATTTTGATGGTTTTGGTATAACATGGTATACTGCGTGTATATGGTTTATCTTTATTTACTTTGCGTCCTATGGCAATAACGGGACGCGTATAAATTCTGGTTCTTATCTTTTACTTTTTAGTATACCTACCCGAACGCTTTACACTCGACGGACGGAAGACAGAGATAGGTCGTAAGCCCATAATAATACTGAGTCAGTATTATACAATATATCATTACAGGGATAACACGACACGAATTTATGGAAGATAATCCAAGGAATCCATTTCAGAAGACCCATGACGTACTTGCCGTCCACCTGCAGCACCTCATCACGTGTGAGTAAGCCGATTATTATATTAGTAATAATAACAACTCGTGGTGAACTATCAGACTCATTACAATGTATATATATATAGGGTGTTTCAACAACGAAAGTCATCATCAGGATACACAAACTCTATGAAGTGGCAAAAACATTTAACTATTAATTGTACTTGCACTGAGTTTATTTACCATAGTTTTGTCATTATTTGTTCCGGCTGCTTAAATACATGTCAATATACCTGTTATTGCATGTCGTTACTTGTTTCTACCTTATTGTAACTTTCGATGTCTACCAAAACTTATTGGTGTCTCTCAAACAGTTACATTTTAGATCACACATTTGTTTCGATTATCACGGCAACAAATATGACAACCCATGATGGTGCAAAGTCGTGAAAAAGAATATGATTTTGGATGTGAAATTTTCCAGAAATGTCTTGGGAACTTAAAAATTTTGTTCGTCACCTAAGAAATAAAATTTAAAAATGTCTTATTCTTAAGATAAAAAAATGCCTACATTTTCGGCTGAGATCACTTCACAGATTATGTTTGAGTGACATTCCACATTCTTTCTAGAAACACCCTGTATATTATATATTTATATCATGCATAATATAGAGGCCAACGATATTATATTCATACATATTATATAGGTACCACCCGAGTACGTGACACTGCTGCTGAACCGTTGACAGCGAACAGCTATTGTAGGTAATACTAGCTGGTATAGTGCGCTAAGTATACCGTTATTACAACGCGTTGTGTCTATTGGAGAAGATGCGTATTTCGTCTTATGATCCAACGAATACTGTTATTATCGAACTCGCACCATGTTATTATTATTATTATTATTATTATTATTACTGTCATTGTTACCCGATCGTCGTTATAACATATTATTTTTATCGGTTTACCAGAAATAAATATCACCGACGTCACATACTCACATAGCCACATGCCAACGTACCTTCTTGTGGCATTATCATGACATGGGGACTAAAATGCTGTTAAATACAATAATTCCTCGACGTCATATCGAGTTTATATAATATATATAGGCTGGTACCTACGATGCAACAATAATTATTTTATTATAATGTTGTTATGAATTGCGGGCGATTCGTTAAAGTCTCCAGAAAAGTAATTGATGATGTCCCCGTGGGCCGCGTTATTGCCATTGAATGCAGGCCTGGGAAATACTTTTTACGGCGCAAAAAACGTAAAAAAGTCTCTCAGACTCTTTTTATTCGGTCGTCCGGGTTATTGTATTTGTATTTACAACACGATATTATACATTGTATAGACTATACGGCATACGCATAATGTATAATATTGACACCAAACAAATCGTTTGTGCTGCGAGTGTATTATCATTATTGTCATAGTATTATAATCATATAATATAATATATTGAGTACACCTTAGACATAATGCAAATAAATAATGCAATAATATTATAGTATATATTTAATGCTACGGCCATCGTGGTCGAAGACCGAACACTCACCGGAATGTACTTATTATACAGACTTTTATTAAAATACATTTAAATGATTGCGTTTGAGGACGTTTATGTAATATTCACATTTGGCCGAGCGCGTTACAATCGTCGCCGCAACCGCAGACAAGTCGTAGGTGCATTCGTTTGGCTGCATGCACATAATAATATTATTATATACTTGCACAGGCCGTAAACCTGACAGCTCTGTGTGCGTGTATGTGTGTGTGTGTGTGTGTGTGAGTGTGATTATTCTCAAACATATTATTATTATAATAAAAATAATAATATAATATATGCTATGTAAAAGTACACTTATTTCTTCTACTAATAATTCGAATTTATCGTCGACCGCGTATATAATTTTAACGCGTCCAACGTTGAATTCGAATTATTATTAGTCGATACATTTTGTTTTGTGACCGTGTCTCCAGGGATAATTGTATTGCCGAACACGGTTGGACGATTTCCCGGAATTGTGTACACAATCGCGGACGTATAGATCAATCCGGATTTCAATGTTTTTCCTAATTTGTTAGACTTTGACGCGAGAACAAAATGTTGCTCAGATTCCACTGCTGTAGTTCGAATTGGAAACGTATAACATTTTAAATTTAAAGCAATTCACTGTAATCTATTAAAATTCTAATGGATATAATTATTATCACTATAATACCTTGCGGCTCCGAGTAATGTTACTAAGTTTCTATTGAATAATATTGTTAAGAAATAATTGTGTAAGTACCTAACATTTAATTTTTTTATGAATATTAAATCACTGTATGACCATAATAACATTTTTAATATTGTTGTTTGTTTATTACGAATGAAACATATTTTATTCTTAATGGTTCAAAATCCATTTTTGGTATGTACAATGATTTAGATTTTTTTTTACAATCATTATTAACGGAAGAGTTTTTATTTATTTTAAGTCATATTTATATAGTACCTATATAAATGTGTGTCCTTTAAAATATGTTTATGATATAAAATAATAGTCATTAATAGTAATAATAAAATACAAGAAGACGAGTGGTACACTCGGAATAATAAACCCATTTAATTCGGTGATAACTTGGTTTATCTATGTAATACTTTCTTAATGGAGGTCGATTATGGTTTAACACCGGAAGGCTAAAGAAAAAAAACTAAAAGATAAAAAATTAACTCATATTTGAAGACAAGGTTAATCCTCTTAATTTGCGATTATCTAAGTCCCTGGAAAACGTTTCTCAAGGTATATAATATTATTGTGAAGTAGTTGAGATATTATATCAAAAACCAAACAAATCGTCGAGATATATTAATCACAATAATAAACCGATGACGTACCAATATGAGTTTCATTTCACATATTTCGCATGCTATTCATGATTTCGTTGTATACTATGATGTATAATGAGTATCTCGAATATCAAAATTTGGAAAATAATTTCCTATAATTAATTATGCACTTTTCTAAAACGGTCAGTTTGAAGACGAAAAGTCAACTTTTATGGATAGGTTAACATATTTTTTACGTATAATACGATCCACGTCCCATAAAAATTCAATATTAACGAGAACGTGGGAACGTAATAACTGAATATTAAGCTGAGCGTTGGACTAGTTTTTAAAATTCGTATACCTATATACAACTATATTATAATGTACAAAGTCTCGTTTTCCGTTGGTATTTTCAACGCTCCTGGCCACCACCTGAATAATAATAATTACATTACCATCATTATTATTAGGTATAGGTACCTATAGCATATGTGGTATTATTATTGTCAAGTGGCTATCCGACGCGCGCACGACCTATTCGTACTTTTCGCTATTATGCATGTATTATAATACATTGAAACGGTCGGCTAACGGTGAACACAGCAGCACGAAAAATCTTCGTCCGCGAGGGAATCATAATTTCAGCGGTGAGAAGTGTGGGGGATTTGGAAAAAACTTAAAAAACTAAAAAAGGCGAGTAGCTCAAACATGACTTACATCCTGTGTCTTTGACCCAACGAGACGGGCCATGACAGTCGAATCGAAATCTCGGCCGCCCTGTGTATGGTATTAGCGTTTAACACAATATACGACGATAACATCGACAAAGAGTGTTTTTTTCGGGAAAGCTTTCCGATCAATATAGATTCCAGACGGTCTGAACCCTCGGAAAACACAATAATCATATTGTGTGTTTCGAGTCCGCTTACACCCAAAAATGTTGACCATTATTAACCGAATCGTACGTATACACGTAATCGTGCACATCTAGACCTAAGTCTGTCGCCGGTCTGCCGCCACAAGTACCTTAACACATTTCAGCGTGTGTGTGTGTGTGTGTGTGTGTGTAATACCTACTCGCAGTCGCTGGCTTACCCGTGTGTGTGCGCGCGCGTGTGGTGTTGACCATTTTAGGAGAGACCCGCGGCGGACACGGCGCTCGTTCACACACACACACACACACACACACACACACACACACACACACACACACACGCACACACACGCTGGCATGCATTCAGTGCCAAGTGGGCGTCGGACGGCGGTCGGGCGACACGGGGCGGCGAGGGGAGTGTAAAAACGCGAGGAAAAATCGTTTCCACACCGGTTTCCGCATCGCTCTGTATATGCATGTGCACTGCGCACGCACGCGAATCGAACCGAACGAGTGCGCCAACACAAACGTAAGCGTATATTATTATTATTATTACTATCATCATCATCGTAGGTATACACAACAATATAATATTATATGGTCGGCGGTCGCGATGATGTTCGTCGGTGGGGACGGTGAACTCTCGCCGCCGGAGAGTGTCGCGCGCCCGGCCGGCACGCGAGACGATTGCCGGGCCGCAGTACGCGAAACACGTTCGACCGGGTCGGCGGTGGCGGACGACGCGAAAATTTTCACGACACGTGCGACTTCGAGCCTACACGACGAGTACTATAATAATATACGTTATGAGATATCATATACTATCATCGTTGTTATAATAATATAATATTTTTATTACGCCCGTACGATATAACAGACATTCGATAGCACACGAATTACTGTTATAATCTGGTTGCGTTCTCAAAGTAAATAATATATATATATATTATACATAGCGATTTATATATGTATCGGTTTTCATAACCGTCAACAGGAATCGACGCGACGCTTTCGTTTTTTTTTTCACCGTCATCGCGTGTTTTTTTCCGCCGTGAAAATCTCGACCGATTTTGTTTCAGTGCGATTTAAAAAGTTTTTTTTTTTAACGCCAGCTTACGAAATCCGTCTATCCGGTCAAACTATCGACGTTATAATAATTAATAATATAATATACAAACGGTATAATAATTGCAAACGGTATATTATAAATATTACCAATATTATACACAGTCGAACCTGCGACGACCAGCTAAAACGAGATTGGGTATGTGTTTTACATATTATTATATTTTATATTGTTATTCATGCGTAATGAAGGTATAATAAATTATTATTGTAACTGTTATATCACGTTATACGCACACATTATTGCCCGTTTATTGTTACCTATCGTATTTTTGTAACGGTTGTATTATTCGTTTTTCGGCTGCACGGATATCATCGCGAGTTCTGCGATCCACTTTCGTCATTTGCTCTGTATATTTTAACATTGTTATGAGTATTATTATGCGATAGGTAGTAGAAAAACATAATATTAAACACGCCAATAGACGCGCAGTTAATAGCTTTTATTGTATATTTTTTTTTTTATTATTATTATTGTACCTTTAGTCAACGGACCTGCAACCCGATGGTTGACGGCAGCACCAGACACTCGCATTAGTCCGACGCGACGATCCAAATTTGGAAGTAGTTTATATTCAATATATCAGTTACGTTATCGCTACAAACAATGACGAGTATACTTTTAAAAAAACCCGACAGTCTTAACATTCTTGTTTACTTGAATGCGTAGATTTACATTAAAAAAAGACTTAACCTAAACACAAACCATCTACTCGTAATACATTCCAAGCAATATATAGCCATATGCATTTACAATTTACTCTGGTTTCGGTCATTTCACAAAAACTTTACAAACCACATCAGCTATTCAGCCGGAGTCTACTTTAAACATAAGATAATAAAAAACATGGCTTTGCTTGTTAATACGATAATAATTGTCATACATATTAAGTTCAGATAATTGTCTAGATTTGTTGGAAAATTATTGTTGTATACAGTAGATTATTCTTACTATGGCAAACGCCGATACCTATAATTTTTCGTTATCTCAAACTAAATTGAAAGATCCTTGAAACCACCATTACAATAAAACTCGATATCTGGAATTTTTCGATAGTTATCTCAAACTTTTTTCTGTTCTCCTTGAAATTTGACATAAGATAAGAGTTTAATGTATCAATAGTAAAATTTTATAAAATATTGATTCCTGTTTTGGTGACTGATCATAGTGTTAACAAATTTAAATAAAATTAATGAAGTTCAGTAGTTGTAAATTTCCATTTAGAACTTCTACCGATCAACACAGATTATACCTAGTGGCTACTAGCTACTCTTATAATTAAATTCATAGTTTTCGTTATTCGATTTAAGTACAAATTTAACTACCATATTTATCATAATATGTACAAATGTATTTATCTAGATAAATCATAAAATCGTATCAGCAAATTGTCATTAAAGTATTCTTACATAATTTCCTCAAAGTCTTAATGACAGACTGTAAATACTACTATATTATAGTCAATGAAGTCATGAAGAACAGTGATCATAAAAATGTATTTTAATACCTAACCCTTCAACAATTTCAAAACATATTGAATTTACTGTCACTTTTACAAATATATTTACATCAACCATGTGTGGCCTGTCAACCATTCAATATTTGTATTGTACTTTCGGATTAATAAATATCATGTATAGATATATTGCTTGATCGAAATCATAAGTAGATGCATAAAAAATAAAATGGTCAGTTAACTTTCTGATCTGCTCATCGTAATATTGTACCACAAACACATTATCTGGTAAAGCGTCGGTCTTATTGTATACAAAACAACATAGGTACGTCACACGAAAAAAACCATCGAGGTATCTTAAGTGGTTTAAAAAAACAACACGTGGGTTTTCGAACAAGACAAACAACATAATACTACGGAATAATAATATGTTATAATATGGCTCTGATGATGAATTTCATAATAATATACGATATTATTATCATACTAAATGTTACCCAGACATATTTTGGAAATTAATTTGGATTGGATAAAAAAATATCAAAAATATGTGTATCATCTAAAACTATTTGCTGGTATAACTATAACTGAACAGCTTTTCGGTTACATCCACGGACTATTAAAAGTAGTAATAATTATTATTTATTACATTTTATAGTTACCTATGTGTTGGTGTCATCGACCTAGTAATATCGACCACGGAAAACCTATATCAACACTGCCATATGGTTAAACATACCGAAAAAAAAATAGTCTTTCTTCTAATTGTTTAGTATGTTATTATTGTTTCGATAATTTTGTACAGCATCCATTGTCGATGTGATGCAGTACCCACGCCACACACATTTCGGAAGTGGTATTTCCATCGCTCACATGAGTATCCCGGTACGGGTGTAGGTTGATGTTCATACAAAAACTTGCGTAACACACACTTTATTTTTAATCTTCCTCTGTCATCGTTTTTTTCTTATAATTATGATTATTATTTTTCGGCGACTTTTGCTCTTCCGTCTGTTGTGTGTTACTCGGATCTGTTCGGTTTTTGTTCTCGGCGCCAATTGCGCGGGACGGACAAAGCGCCGATGAAAGCTGAGTAACCAGAAAAAAACAGGCACGTAATTTTTATACACGCACATGGAAAAGCCCAGTAGTGGGTACTGCAGATGGAGTGATGACTGACTGAAAAGATTATTTATGATTTCAACCAGCTATGTCACGCATTGTAACATACTGTAGGTATTATATTATATTATATTATATAGTGGCTAGTGCATTCGACCCGAACAGACTGCACTGACCACTAACATAAAAAAATAACGTCTCGAAAACAGGATTGCATGACGGGATACCGTCAACCTCTAAACGGCGTACCGTACGTTTTTAACGTTGGTCGACTTCCCTCTATTAATTTATGAGATAATATTATTATTATTAAGTATTTTTCCCCTGATATTGATTCGAAAATTTGTCTGGGACGTTTAACGGTCTGTTTAAGACCCATTTTAAAATCATTATTGTTAATTGTACGCTTATTTAAAGTTAACAATGTATATCGTTGAATACAAATAAAAAAAATTGTTTAATTGTGTTTAGTAGCATGTACCCACGTTTTGAACACAACGAGTTGGACAATAAAATTTGTTCTTCCATATAATAGCACAATGAACTGAGTAATTTTACATAACTCAATCCCCGCGCTGTTGCAGACTCTCCGAATCGTACCTATACACAATTCGGTTTTTTTTCGTGTGCGGTTGTTACGGTTTAGTTTTTTAATTTATTTACTATTAACGAGAAAGCGTTAAAAATATTATTACGTGTCGTTTCGTGAACTCAGCTTGCAAGACGTCGCAAAAATATAGATGACGAATTTCGCGAAGGACATTCCCTGCTATAACCCTGAACCGTCCAATAAACACGAGACTTTATTTTTCTATCAATTTTTATCTCGATTGTCTCGCCTCGAGAAAAGTGTGTGGAATCGCAATATTATTATTTTGTTTTTTTATTATTTTCCAAGGACATATCAGAATCTAAGACTTTACCGTAACTAATATTCCGCACTGGTACCGGAATATTCTTAGATGTGACGTTTTTCAATAACTCGTAGCTCAAATGTCATAATGGAAATTGAGTAAATATGTATATGACGATGAGACGTCGACGGCCGTCGACCTTAATTTCGATTTTCTACAGTCTTTAGGCTAACGAGGTTCGATTAGGGCGTTATTATGTACCTATGTAAGTGAACTGCGAATTATCAGGTGTGAGTAGTCGTTCTTCTGTGGGCTGCAGTGAGAGGAGATTATTAAATTATTATAATATGGTTAATAACCATTGGTTATACTATAATAGACGTCGCCCGCGTGTGATCGCGAATTGGTACATAATATAATAAGAAAAACCAACGGACCATTATTATAACATGTGCATCATATACCTGTATATTAAATAAAATGTATGTTCACGACACTAGAAAGGCCGTGTTGCACAACTCGTAATTCGGGCTCGCCGGGAAGTCGGAAAGCATCACGAAAACGTTTCTTCGGGATTTCACCATCATCGCCCGGGCCAGACGCGTGCGGACAATAATATAAATTATAAACACACAATATACGCGTTTTATTTTGTCCGACCAGTGTGTATAGATGCGAACGCGTGCAGGTAATGCGATATACGACGATTATTATTATTATTGTTATATTATTATCGTACTCGTACTTATTTTGCATTGTAACGGACGAGAATATACTTATCGCGACGCTTTCCCCGCTGCAGACGTTTCGCCCGCACACGCGAGTCCAGCGACATCCGCGAAACAGCCACAGTATTTTTCTGCCCACGCGTCACCCCGCGCACCGCATATGCCTGTGTGAGATTGTCATCTCGAATGGACCGAGGCCTCAGGACTTGCACGAGCCATTCGGAATGCGTATATAGATATATGCGGCTGCAGTAGTCGTTATACCTTTGCTATATTATGCCGGAGCTGTATGGTATACAATATAATGGTGTTTGCGCGTACAAAGTTTTCCGAGTGAGCACGGTCGCATTTAACAATGTGATAATAATAAGACGCCATTATAATAACCAGCGGCGGCGTCAAAACTTTGGACCGAAAACGAAATCGTTAACGGTCTATCTTCCTACCCTAACAGGTATCTGAACTATCTAAGGGAAGTTCATACCCGTGTTGAAATCATTTTAAATATTTTCTAAATATTTAACGTGTTTTATTGAGTTCGTAGACCAACGACAGTCGTAGGTACCTGTAATATATTAATACATACTATATGGAGTACAGCAGTCGGATAATTAAAGATTTTAAATGTGTCCACCTTTTAATGCTGTTCGCAAAATGCACGTCATCGACTCTCGAGTGCATCGTAAACAATTTTAATTTCCGGTTCTCATAAGTCGTATCGCGGACCAATTCGTCACACACGTGGACATTATTAAGTTGATAACATATTATTCACACAAAAGCAAGCTACAACATAATCGATTGCTTAAAACTTAATAGGTACATTATTAACAGATAAACACTATGTCAACTTAGCATCCACTCTCAGGTAAAACCACACCATCCGATATATTTTTGTTATACCACTGTTCCAGGTTTCCGGTATCTTGTAAAGTGTCATATAATATAAGCGTCGAATAAAATTCAATAGACCGTTCA